ACAGCATTCACAAGTCTATGGAGTTAGTTTTCAGGAATCACATGTCTAGGGAGTTAGTTTTCAGCAATCACAAGTCTATGGAGTTAGTTTTCTGCAGTCACAAGTCTAGGGAGTTAGTTTACAGCATTCACAAGTCTAGGGGGTTAGTTTACAGCAGTCACATGTCTAGGGAGTTAGTTTACAGCAGTCATAAGTCTATGGAGTTAGTTTTCTGCAGTCACACATCTAGGGAGTAAGTTTTCAGGAATCACATGTCTAGGGAGTTAGTTTACAGCATTCACAAGTCTATGGAGTTAGTTTTCTGCAGTCACAAGTCTAGGGAGTTAGTTTAGAGCATTCGCAAGTCTAGGGGGTTAGTTTATAGCAGTCACAAGTCTATGGAGTTAGTTTTCTGCAGTCACAGGTCTATGGATTTAGTTTTCTGCAGTCACATGTCTAGGGAGTTAATTTACAGGAGTCACATGTCTAAGGAGTTAGTTTTCAGCAGTCACATGTCTAGGGAGTTAGTTTTCAGGAGTCACAAGTCTATGGAGTTAGTTTTCAGGAGTTACCGTTTTCAGGAGTCACATGTCTAGGGAGTTAGTTTTCAGCAGTCACAAGTCTAGGGAGTTAGTTTTCAGGAGTCACATGTCTAGGTAGTTAGTTTTCAGCAGTCACCAGTCTAGGGAGTTAGTTTTCAGGAGTCACAGGTCTAGGGAGTTAGTTTACAGCAGTCACAAATCTAGGGAGTTAGTTTACAGCAGTCACAATCTAGGGAGTTAGTTTTCAGGAGTCACAATCTAGGGAGTTTTCAAGTGTCTATAAGGGTATCAGTGTGCAAGGGTCACAGCTAGTCTACAGAGTCATGCTTAGAGTGCATGGCTAATATCATAGATCTATGAAATTAAAGGATGGGTCAGATAGCAAGGTCCTTAAGGATTCAAAGATTAAGGAGATGATCAAAAGGATAGGATTCATACCCGTGGCTAGTCTTATTGACTACTATTACCAGAGATCTAGGGAAACATGGCACCAGAGGTAGGCCGGGGAACAGGATGTACAATATAATAGTTATAACACTGGTTATAGCTCATCAATGTTGTATTCATTGAGCAGAAGCATTGTGGGTAATTTGAGCCGAGGTTTATTTTTTATCTTAACTTGACTGATCATGTGTGAGGTCGTTGACCGAGGGTTACGATCGGAAGGTGTGTAATGAGCTTGAATTACCGATATTAAAACAAGTTTTCTGGATATGAATTGATTTGATATCAGGTGTATTAATATTTAGCTTGGTAGTCGTGCTATATTGCTACTGTTAATGACTAAAACTGCTAATTAGATGTGCTATCTCAGACTCCGGTGGTCCACTTCCTGCTGGGTGGTTATCAATATGGTTGATTACAGATTAATGCTGTCGTGCTCAAATATATATATTACATTCTGGAACAAAGAAGTCAAACTGTCGTAAAGATATGTCCTGTTGATTGTTATTTCTGTCCCCTTGTGTCACCTTCTACTTTTGGAATGGTATTGCTACTTCTGAAATGATATGATGTGGTATGAAGATACCGTAAACCTTAGGTCAGATTGAACAAAGTTCAAATAAATTTGGTCAATCCTGTTTGAATTGCACGAAATTATAGCTGCTAGAAGAAAAAGCAGTTCGAACAAGCTGAGTCAACATAAAAAAAATCAGCGCTCAAGCCATTGATACAGGACAACCTATTACGATAAATTTGCAATTTATGTCTTTCTTATATTTACTTACATATTAAGAATCAATAAGCAAGTCCAATTTGCACTTAATCACAAAGCAGAGGTAAGAATGTAGGCTGCAAAGAAATACGTTCTCGAGTATTGAGGGAAGTTCAATTGTAAAAAACCGTATCAGAATGTGGAGGGTTAGGTTGAAACTGCAGTTATGGAATAATTAGTTCAACCAACCATTTTGTCAAACCTGTTATCTTTGGCACATTTACAAGTTACATATCAATTTAGTATTAAATCAGGGATCGGTGGCCAGGTCATGATTATATAATAAAATTGTAAACACTCTGTTATAATATCATGACAATATACACATGTCTGTCAGCGATGTTCCATACTACATAATGGTAGGAAACTATACATGGTCGATGCCTAAAGTTCCACACTACATAATGGTAGGAAACTATACATGGTCGATGCCTAAAGTTGTTCAACTTACGCATCAAATGCTAACATATGTCATATTTATGTACAGATGTCTGTCGTAGTTGACTACAATGGTCGCACATCATAAGTATTACCTATTACTCAGATCTTATTAGCATTGATGATTTGATATTATATATAAATGTTTTTATTGATTTTATTGTAAAAAAAACATCACGTCATACGTATATGTCTTATAGTTTCTATACATAACCAAACTTCCTAGGATATCTCGGAGCTGACTCCGTATTAAGAGACCACCTGTCATGTGTGTCCTTTTTTCCAACTTCCTATGGATGGTCTCATAATACAGGTTTAATTGTACATGATATTGATGTAAAAATTGATCAGTTTGAGTGAGTTTCGCAAGGTTATTATTTCATCCATGATAGACAAAATTGATTAATAATTCCATTGTTTCAGTATACTCAAATGTTATATTCAAACAATCTGAAATGTGGGTTACAAAGCAGGGTTCGATCTGTCACTATAGATAGAAAATTATTGTTTTATTGTAAAAAAGATGTGTTTGAACTTTCTGCCAATGCCAAGTAATTGCAGGTTTACCGTTTATAAACATTGTGTAGGTCAATATAGGGACAATAGTGACTCCATCATAGTGAGCAATGATATTGCAACCATGCATGAAGACACAATATATGAAGGCGATCCTCTGAGTATATAAGCAAAAATTTCTTTCCTTCTACTGCAGAAGATAAGTTTTATACATTAGTAATCTTAGTAGTGACAGACAAACCTGCATGGTCCTCTTCTTGGTTTGGCATAATAGCGACTGTAACTGACAGTCTTCGTAGAAAATCATATGTAACTATTCCCGAAGTCTGCAGAAAGTTCATATAAGATTCTTTCAATCACTGCCGATTATAACAAACAAAATTGACCTTCATTGATTAAAGTGAGATGATTATCATGTGTTGTTTGTGTTGTATTTCTGGATGCCAGCTGTACCTAATGGAGATCAAAAGGTCATCAAAATCATTGTCTATCTTCTGTCATTATGATAATGAAGCAATAATGGTTTGATCGTTATCTGCATGTGAATTAGCTGTGTTCCTAAAGAGGATCTTCACGCTTGAGTTGGGATGGCAATTGATTGGGGTGGGGGCGCTGAAAGCTTCCTGCGATTCCTCCTTAGATCTACCTGGTTGTTTACCGAGGTTTTTACGCTTGGATAAGGTTTACAAACAATGCTAACATCAATTCTAACTTACTTGGCTGTTTAGGCTTCCAAACCGTTTATAGGTACTGGAAGTTCATACCTTTCTATTTTCCTGTTTTTTTTGTGAAAATGATTTAGCATGAAATTTGAAGACAGCACGGAGAATATTTTATGGGGAAAGTTCATTGATTATTGGTATTGTATTGTTAGAGAAGCACATGAAAAGGCCAGATAAGGCTTTCAGCTACAGTGAGAAATCAAGATATTGAGATGTTTTTGTACGCTATAGGCGTATATTATATAGCACAGAATGGTAGAGCATGAAAATTCAAGATTAACTTTCTGCTTTGTACAAATAACGCAGTTGATTTTAGCTATGATTGTCTGCTTTGTTTCAAAGGCAAAAGATTGATCTGGGTCATAACAATTCTTTATCGTGTATTCATCCACACTCCAGGTCAAAGAACCTATCGGGTGTTCTAACCTGATCACATTTCGTAGACATCGGTTCCCGCCTCTCCTGTATAGGAGGTGCTGATTGGGAAGATGTCTCCGATAGCATCAAATGTATATAACATTACGCCAACTTCTCCATGCATCTTTTCAGGGATATCATCGGTTTGTGTGATAACGGACTGTATAAAAAATGTATTTGTGTTTTTAAAAATAAATACAAATGATTTCTGTAACAACTGAGGGTACAATGACAACCATGAAGACTGGAGATTGTCTAAGGGTTAACAGGCGATTTATTGCTGATTGATTTTGGAGATTTAATAATTAACTGGTGTATAGCTCCTGCCCTTAGTCAGTTACTGTACAGTAGGCCCTTGCTCAGTCTGTCCCTGTTCTCTTGTTCTTTGAATAGAGAGGTTTATTTTCTCTGTTCCTGGCATGAGGGTTGGCATGAAGGTTGGCATGAGGGTTGGTGTGGGTGTGAGTTCGAATGTGAGTACAACTGTGAGTGAGGACTCTATCATGAGTGTGAGCCTGTATCAGGTCCTGTCCCATCCTGTCCCTCTGTGTCAGGTTCTGCCCCATCCTGTCCCTCTGTATCAGGTTCTGTCCCATCCTGTCCCTCTGTGTCAGGTTCTCTCCCATCCCGTCCCTCTGTGTCAGGTCCTATCCCATCCTGTCCCTCTGTGTCAGGTTCTCTCCCATCCCGTCCCTCTGTGTCAGGTCCTGTCCCATCCCGTCCCTCTGTATCATGTTCTGTCCCATCCTGTCCCTCTGTGTCAGGTTCTGTCCCATACCGTCCCTCTGTGTCAGGTCCTATCCCATCCTGTCCCTCTGTTTCAGGTACTGTCCCATCCTGTCCCTCTGTGTCCGGTCCTGTCCCTTTCTGTCCCTTTGTATCAGGTTCTGTCCCATCCTGTCCCTCTGTTTCAGGTCCTATCCCATTCCGTCCCTCTGTTTCAGGTTCTGTCCCATCCTGTCCCTCTGTGTCAGGTTCTGCCCCATCCTGTCCCTCTGTATCAGGTTCTGTCCCATCCCGTCCCTCTGTGTCATGTTCTGTCCCATCCTGTCCCTCTGTGTCAGGTTCTGTCCCATTCTGTCCCTCTGTATCAGGTCCTGTCCCATCCTGTCCCTCTGTATCAGGTTCTGTCCCATCCCGTCCCTCTGTATCAGGTTCTGTCCCATCCTGTCACTCTGTGTCAGGGTCTGTCCCATCCTGTCCCTCTGTATCAGGGCCTGTCCCATCCTGTCCCTCTGTGTCAGGTTCTGTCCCATCCTGTCCCTCTGTATCAGGTCCTATCCCATTCCGTCCCTCTGTGTCAGGTTCTGTCCCATCCTGTCCCTCTGTATCAGGTCCTGTCCCATCCTGTCCCTCTGTGTCAGGTTCTGTCCCATCCTGTCCCTCTGTGTCAGGTTCTGTCCCATCCTGTCCCTCTGTGTCAGGTTCTGTCCCATCCTGTCCCTCTGTGTCAGGTATTGTCCCATCCTGTTCCTCTGTGTCAGGTTCTGTCCCATCCTGTCCCTCTGTGTTAGGTCCTGTCCCATCCTGCCCCTCTGTGTCAGGTATTGTCCCATCCTGTTCCTCTGTGTCAGGTTCTGTCCCATCCCGTCCCTCTGTGTCAGGTTCTGTACGTCCCATCTCATCCCATCCCTTTATGTCTCTGTCAGGCAAGGTCTCATCATGTCCCTTTGTGTCGGGTCCTGTCCCATCCCATCCCATCCGTCTCTGTCAGGTCAGGTCTCATCACGTCCCCTTGTGTCAGCTATAGGTTCTGTCCCATCCTGACTCATTGTTATGACTCGGCTAACAGATTTTATCAAAGTTTATACAAAGGTCAAGTACAAGAATACAAAATGTACCTCAGATGGGTTTGACTTTCAGGGTTTCAAAGTCAAAGTCACTGTTGCTATATTTATAGGTCAACCAATTCAAGGGGGCATTGACAGGTCTGAGAGACATTTTCGACTTTACAGGATAAAACTATTACTTGTAAATCATCGGTATTATTCAGCAGTAATGTCGCTGTTAATACTACCACACCGATCAGGCAGTCCCCAGATCACTTAATCTGTTATCGACAGGCAGTGGTCAACACCCTCAATCATATTTAATTAAAATTCTCTTTATTATTATGAGAGCCAGATCAATGGATATTGTAGAACTAAAACCTGCGATTGCTTTAATTTGTTTCATGTAATGTAGCAGGTGATAGTGGTGGATATCTGTGTAATCCTCCTGGGTACCACAGCTGGAACGGTAACCACAATCGGGCCAAGGTGTCACTGACTCCTTAGACTTAGACCATCGACTTAGGCATTCCAGCCTAGACTACAATGTTAGATGTTGGCCTTCTGCTCCGACTTTCCCGCATTAGTTGCGGATATTAAGGAACCTGCTATCGTGAAGCTACAATTATCGACAGATAAATCTAGGCAGTATTTAATCAATTTTCAATTAAACACTATAATGACAGACAGATGAGTTCTTTATAAACATTTTACACTTCTAAGGACAGGTCCAACGGGATCATGATAGAAAATGATTACAGTGTACTACTGCTTTACTATTGAGGTCAGCAAGGTAGTCTTCAGTGTTTGATTTTTAGCTCACCTGGCCCGAAGGGCCAAATGAGCTTATCCCATGATGCAGCGTCCGGCGTCCGGCGTCCGGCTTCCGTCAACTTTTTCCTTTAAAATTCCACTTGTCCTGAATGGCTCAGAGGATTTTGACCAAATTTGGTCAGGAGCATCATTGGCCAAAGGGTTCTCAGTTTTGTATAAACGGAGGGTATAACCCCCCTGGGGGCAGAGGGGCGGGGCCAAATAGGGGGAAAATAGGTAAATCTTTAAAAATCTTCTTCTTCTCAACCAATAGAAGGATTTTGACCAAATTTGTCCTAGAGCATCTTTGGACAAAGGAGACTCAAGTTTGTATAAACGGAGGGTGTGGCCTCTTTGGGGGCAGAGGGGCGGGGCCAAATAGGGGAAGTAGAGGATTTTTTCTCTCCTACTATACAAGTGAAGGGATTTAAACCAAATGCAGTCTGAAGCTTGGTCAGGAGCATCATTGGCCAAAGGGTTCTCAGTTTTGTATAAACGGACGGTATAGCCCCCCCTCGGGGCAGAGGGGCGGGGCTAAATAAGGGGAAAAAAGGTAAATCTTTAAAAATGTTCTTCTTCTCAACCAATTGAAGGATTTTGACCAAATTTGTCCTAGAGCATCTTTGGACAAAGAAGACTCAAGTTTGTATAAACGGAGGGTGTGGCCCCTCTGGGGGCGGAGGGGCGGGGCCCAATAGGGGAAATAGAGGATTTTTTTTCTCCTGCTATACAAGTGAAGGGATTTTAACCAAATGCAGTCTGAAGCATGATTAGGGACAAAAGAATCAATTTTGTATAAACTGAGGTGTGTGGGCCTCCTTCTAAGGGCAGATGGGTGGGGCCCATTAGGGGAAATAGAGGAAAACATCAAATATCCTTCTCCTTTTGTACCGATGAAGGGATTTTGACCAAATTTGGTCTGGAGCATCATTGGCCAAAGGGTTCTCAGTTTTGTATGAACGGAGGGTATGGTCCCCCTGGGGGCAGAGGGACGGGGCCAAATAGGGGAAAATAGGTAAATCTTTAAAAATCTTCTCCTCAACCAATTGAAGGATTTTGACCAAATTTGTCCTAGAGCATCTTTGGACAAAGGAGACTCAAGTTTGTATAAACGGAGGGTGTGGGCCTTCTGGCGGCATAGGAGCGGGGCCCAATAGGGGAAATAGAGGATTTTTTTTCTCCTACTATACAAGTGAAGGGATTTAAACCAAATGCAGTCTGAAGCATGCTTAGGGAGAAAAGAATCAATTTTGTTTAAACTGAGGTGTGTGGATTCCCCTTCTTTGGGGCAGATTAGTGGGGCCCATTAGGGGAAATAGAGGAAAACATTAAAGATCCTTCTCCTTCTGTACCGTTGAAGGGATTTTAACCTAACCAAACTTGTTTTAGAGAATCTTTGGGCAAAGGGAATTGAATATTTATAAATGGAAGATGCAACTTAGTTACTTGTACTCCTTTGATAAACCTGAATGGTACTCAGCAGGTTTTAAATTGAAAAATAAAATACCAGGTGAGCTAGTAAGGCCCCTGGGCCTCTTGTTTAGTTTTGTACTTAATATATCAGGCTAAGCTATTAATTAGCCAGTTCAATTAACGCTAACTCGGACACGAGGATTGTCCCTGCCCGACACTAACTCAGACACATGGATTGTCCCTGCCAGACACTAACTCAGACATGAGGATTGTCCCTGCCTGACACTAACTCAGACATGAGGATTGTCCCTGCCCGACACTAACTCAGACACGAGGATTGTCCCTGCCCGACACTAACTCAGACATGAGGATTGTCCCTGCCCGACACTAACTCAGACATGAGGATTGTCCCTGCCCGACACTAACTCAGACATGAGGATTGTCCCTGCCCGACACTAACTCAGACATGAGGATTGTCCCTGCCCGACACTAACTCAGACATGAGGATTGTCCCTGCCCGACACTAACTCAGACATGAGGATTGTCCCTGCCCGACACTAACTCAGACATGAGGATTGTCCCTGCCCGACACTAACTCAGACATGAGGATTGTCCCTGCCCGACACTAACTCAGACATGAGGATTGTCCCTGCCCGACACTAACTCAGACATGAGGATTGTCCCTGCCCGACACTAACTCAGACATGAGGATTGTCCCTGCCCGACACTAACTCAGACATGAGGATTGTCCCTGCCCGACACTAACTCAGACATGAGGATTGTCCCTGCCCGACACTAACTCAGACATGAGGATTGTCCCTGCCCGACACTAACTCAGACATGAGGATTGTCCCTGCCCGACACTAACTCAGACATGAGGATTGTCCCTGCCCGACACTAACTCAGACATGAGGATTGTCCCTGCCCGACACTAACTCAGACATGAGGATTGTCCCTGCCCGACACTAACTCAGACATGAGGATTGTCCCTGCCCGACACTAACTCAGACATGAGGATTGTCCCTGCCCGACACTAACTCAGACATGAGGATTGTCCCTGCCCGACACTAACTCAGACATGAGGATTGTCCCTGCCCGACACTAACTCAGACATGAGGATTGTCCCTGCCCGACACTAACTCAGACATGAGGATTGTCCCTGCCCGACACTAACTCAGACACGAGGATTGTCCCTGCCCGACACTAACTCAGACATGAGGATTGTCCCTGCCCGACACTAACTCAGACATGAGGATTGTCCCTGCCCGACACTAACTCAGACATGAGGATTGTCCCTGCCCGACACTAACTCAGACATGAGGATTGTCCCTGCCCGACACTAACTCAGACATGAGGATTGTCCCTGCCCGACACTAACTCAGACATGAGGATTGTCCCTGCCCGACACTAACTCAGACATGAGGATTGTCCCTGCCCGACACTAACTCAGACATGAGGATTGTCCCTGCCCGACACTAACTCAGACATGAGGATTGTCCCTGCCCGACACTAACTCAGACATGAGGATTGTCCCTGCCCGACACTAACTCAGACATGAGGATTGTCCCTGCCTGACACTAACTCAGACATGAGGATTGTCCCTGCCCGACACTAACTCAGACATGAGGATTGTCCCTGCCCGACACTAACTCAGACACGAGGATTGTCCCTGCCCGACACTAACTCAGACATGAGGATTGTCCCTGCCCGACACTAACTCAGACATGAGGATTGTCCCTGCCTGACACTAACTCAGACATGAGGATTGTCCCTGCCCGACACTAACTCAGACATGAGGATTGTCCCTGCCTGACACTAACTCAGACATGAGGATTGTCCCTGCCTGACACTAACTCAGACATGAGGATTGTCCCTGCCTGACACTAACTCAGACATGAGGATTGTCCCTGCCTGACACTAACTCAGACATGAGGATTGTCCCTGCCTGACACTAACTCAGACATGAGGATTGTCCCTGCCTGACACTAACTCAGACATGAGGATTGTCCCTGCCTGACACTAACTCAGACACGAGGATTGTCCCTGCCCGACACTAACTCAGACACGAGGATTGTTCCTGCCCGACACCAATTCAGACACAAGGATTAATTGTCACTAACTCAGACACGAGGATTGTCCCTGCCCGACACTAACTCAGACACGAGGATTGTCCCTGCCGGACAAATGGATAGTTGCTACCCTATTCAATCTTTGTAGGATTTTGATCAAAGTTTGCAATCTCATTCTTCATGATCAATCTGCAGTTTGAGGATTGGGAAAAGAACATACCTGCTGTTACTCTCAGCACGCTGTAAGACATAACTTATGTGGGAATGTCCTGCAGAATTGGGAGAAGTCCTGTGACACTTTGCAGATGAATGTCCAACATAAATCTGCTGCACCCATTGTAACATTTTGAAATTTTAGTAATTATTTTCACTCTACTAATCTTTAAAACTTTTTCGTTTCCCAGCACTTTGATTTGCAATATCTTTTGGTCTTCCATTGAAAGTTCACCTTAGTTGGGAAGGCTGCTAATATATGCGCTCTGTTGCTAGGTTGGGAAATACCAAAACCCTTTAAAACAGTAGTATTTTTTCAATATCCAGCCAACGTTCAGCATGTAGGTTACCTAGGTAACTCTATCAAACTGTTCACCCATTGCCGTTATAGTGTGACCTGTTGGAATACTGTGCTGGATACCTT